AGATTCATTTGTGATATTATATATATATATATTTATTTAATAACACATTATAATCTATTAATGACATGTCATGATTGTAAATTTATAATTTTACGTGACATTATAATTATAGTTTTGTGGAATGCAAAAAGAAAAATGGGTAATATGAAAACAAAAAAATCTTTTTGCAGGTTACCCTCCTAAAATTTTTTAGAGGATTTGTATGACAACTCATATTTTAATTAATATTTTCAAAAATCAATCATTGTATTAAAAATTTTATTCATATAAATCATATATATCAATTTTCAAATTGATTCAATGGGCATAACCAATTCATTGTGTAAACAAAATTTAACATCGTTAAATATATATTAGTAAATAAGATTTTTTTGATAAAAAGTTTATAAATATTAGTTTGATATGAAAACTAACATGCATGGTTTATATGAGAAAAACTTTTAATTCAATAATTGGTTTTTGAAAATATTAATTAGAATATAGGTTTCTAGATAAGTTCTCTAATAAAAAATTAAGAGAATGACTTCTTCTATACTAATCTCATATAAAAAATTTTGTAATTTTTTTAACTATAAAAACAGTTTTTCTTTTTTAATTATGACTATAAAAATCCCATAAGAAAATTATAGCCATAAAAAAAAATATTGCAGGAATTAAACTTTGTTAAATGCCAGTTTTAATCCCTCAACTTAAGCGTTTTGCATAATTTTCATTTCTCTGCTTTTTTATACACTTTTTTTTTTTATGTCTCTAAACTATAAAAATATGTTTCTTTAGTCCTTTTATTAGTTAATTTATTAAGATTATTTAAATATGCATCTTTTTAGTCCCTCAACTTAAAATAGATGCACATTTTCTATTTTTCAACTTAAAAGTTTAGGGACTAAAACTACATATATTTAGGCAAAGTTAATGAAATAATTAATAGAAGAACTAAAAACATGCATTTTTTATAGTTAAGAAACCAAAAAATTTATAAAAAATTTAATGGATAAAAACTGTATAAGACTCTAAAGTTGAGGGATTAAACTTAGCATTTAACCAATTATTCCTCCCTTCCGTATCCGAATAATTAGTTTTAAAATTAATATTGAGCGCCAACTTGAACCAAGTACAATTTCTAGGGGAGAGATTTTAAACCCAGGCTGGGAAATGGCAAAACTGTACATTAACCTCTCAAATTAACTCCAAATTTCTTATTAAACTTTTAAATTTTTATTGAAGTAAATAAGTCACTATACTTAACAATTTGATTAATTTAACATTTTTCTTTATAGTAAAGTTAATACGTGTTTGTTCTTCACTTGTATAGATAAAACGCTGATCTGTCATTATCTACGTAATGGGTATTGATCCTTATCCACGTAAGTTATGCACAAGCAAGTGCTAAATTTGTTATAAGGAAATGTTGGGATTAGGCCCAACACCCACTTCGGGCCACATGCAGCAGGCCCAGTTATACACCCACAGGCCCAAGATGAGAAGACATACCCACGTGGACAGTAACACGTGGACCAATTGGATGAACACATGTCTGAGCTCATGTCAGCATATGGGGCTATAAATACCCCCAACTACCTCCATGCAAGGTATTAACTCTTTTACGCTTCTCTCTCTGCAATTACTCTTGGAGAGCATCTCTCTCCAGAATATTGAGTATTGCTGACTTGAGCGTCGGAGTGTTTTTCTCGAGTAAACATCCTTGGGAATTTTAGGCGTGGAAGCAGCTGAAAACTTCAATAGTGTTGGATCACGAAGCTGCCCAAACATTTGGCGCCGTCTGTGGGAATCGAACAAAAAGCATTGTGACTTAATCGGCACGAACAGAAAATGGTGCGCACCTTCACAGGAAACCAACCCCCAAGAGGCAATGTGGATGACCAGGATAACACTTAGGTGTTGGAAAGTGATTTCAACGACTTCCAAACACTACCGAGAAACCTCTTTGTTGGCAGTGTAGAACAAGAACAATCATACACCTCAGATGATGATGAAAAAAGGTTAAATACCCTTTTTGGTCCCTCTACTATAAGAAAAAGCCCCTTTTTGGTCCTTGTACCGAAAAAATCCCTTTTTTGATCCTTAAATTTTAAAATCTGGCCCCTTTTTAGTCCCTCCGTCAAATTTTGCTTGCGTGGCATGTTAACTTAACTGAAACAGTTGACGTGGGTATGCCAACATGTAAAAAATGCTTACGTAGACTTCTGACACTTGCCACGTCACTCGCCACGTCACTCTCCCACGCGTGAAAATGAAAAAAAAAATTGGAAGGGAGAGTGACGTGGCGAGTGACGTGGCAGGTGTCAGAAGTCCACGTAAGCATTTTTTACATACCCACGTCAGCTGTTCCAGTTAAGTTAACGTGCCACGCGAGCAAAATTTGACGGAGGGACTAAAAAGGGGCCGGATTTTGAGATTTTGAAATTTAGGGATCAAAAAAGGGATTTTTTTTGGTACAGGGACCAAAAAGGGGCTTTTTCTTATAGTAGAGGGACCAAAAAAGGTATTTAACCATGAAAAAACACCTACAGGGTAAGCAACCCAACTTGAAGAACAGTTTCACGTCCCGTCTGAAACCAGACGACGACACCCCAGGCGTAATACTACACGACCTATGGAGAGACTTGTAGAATCTGCTTGAACATCCGAGCTGGAAGAGAGAACAAGGGTTCTAGAGATGGCCATGGGAAAAATTCTATCTCGCCTGATCCCTAATGACCCCTTAATTCCGCTGCTGAATAGGAGTGAGCAACCAACAGCAGTAGTTGCAACCCGTAACTCCCCGGCCCTGAGCAAGGTAGTGGTCCCAACCAGACCAAGGGGAAGTGGGAAGTTAAACCTAGAACCTAGCTCGTCCAGGCATAATGAAGAACTACTAAAGAAAAAAGTTGACCTCGAAAAACCACTCAAAGACGTGCAGAAGTTTATTGATGAGTTAAAGAGTCCCAGGTCACACCAGCAAGCTCTTGACTTAGATAGTGCCCCCCTCAACTTGTCTATCATGACTGAACCATATCAAGAGGGGTTTAAGATTCCTCATTTGGAGACATACGATGGCTCCGGAGCCAGATGAGCATCTGCATACCTATCAAGCCATCATGAGGATCCAAAATGCCACTGATGCTATGATGTGCAAAGTCTTCCCTGCAACCTTGAAATCAACAGCCAGAAGATGGTACCACAAGTTACCTAAATATTCTATAGCCTCCTATTCTAAGCTTGCCACTCTGTTTTCGAACAAGTTCGCAAGTCAAAGAGAAATTAAGCGCACCGCTACTAAGCTGATGTAGGTTCATCAGAAGGAGGGAGAGTCTTTAAGGGACTATATGCAACAGTTCAACAAGTCCACTCTGGACATTGATAACATCTCGGATACCATCTGCTTATCTGCTTTGTTGCATGGCCTTAAACTTGGCCAGTTTCTAGACGACCTGCTAGAGAATCCACCTAAGTCGTGGAATGAAGTGAATGACAGGTCGGCAAGTTTCATACTGTCTGAAGATTTTCAATTTTCTAAGAGACGAGCTGATGACAGACAAGGTAAAGAGCCCAAGCAGCCTGAGGGAAGGGACAAAAAGAAAAAATAGAAAGTTGGCGAGCAAAGAGGAAAACCGCCATCCTATCCAAAATATGACAGTTACATTCCCCTGAACTCATCAAGGTCCTAGATATTGGCGCATATACAACACTGGGTCAAGAGACCCCCTCCCCAAACGCACGATTCTTCACGAGCTGACAGAAGCAAATATTGTGACTACCACCGTGGCTACGGCCATAACACGGAAGACTGTCAAAGCCTGAAGGACGAGCTTAAATTCTTAGCTCACAATGGAAAATTGGAGGGGTATGTACAGAAGCCTTACATCCGGCAACCCACCCAGACACATTTCGTGCAAGAGTATGGCCGATCTCAGGCACATGGATATCAGCTCGGCAACAATCCAATTCCTTACTAGGCGAGTCAATATTCATCCGAGCCCAACAGGACATACAGGGGACGTCCATTCAATAGGCGAGCGTAGGGACATAAAACATCCATGCAGAATCAAAAGGACCACAGAGGGGTTGGATACAGCGGGATACCACCACCATCTGGCACAATCAATATAATCTCTGGTGGTATACATTCAGGAGGCCAGAGTGCTCGAGGTCGTAAGGCTTATGCTTGTCAAAGTAATGGCGGTAAATAAGAATAGGCCTCTAAAGTGCCCCTTTGAAGAAGCATAATGGGAAAATGCGCCCATTACATTCAGCTCGGCAGATTATAAGCGAGCAGACGGAGAGCCCGACGTTATGATGCCTCATGCAGATCCTTTTGTGACAACGGTCCATACAGGCAATCATAATGTCAACAAGGTCTTTATCGATACTGGTAGTTCACTAGATATCTTATATTGGAGCTGCTTTCAGAAGATGCAGCTGAATCTGAGCTCGCTGTAGAAGTATGAGGGGCCCATTTATGGGTTCGATCATCAACCCGTCCCGGTTGAAGGAATCATTACTCTTCCCATATATGTGGGTTCAGAACCACACTTTAGGATGGCTTTAGTTAGCTTTTTAATAGTCAAAATGGAATCAGCTTTCAATGCCATATTAGGAAGAGCCACCCTCTGCGAGCTGAAGGCTGTCATCTCGCAACCTCATCTCTGTATGAAGCTCCCAACTCCTCAGGGGGTAGGAGTGCTTAAGGGGAACCAGAAGATGGCCAGAGCCTGCTATCAAGATACTTTCAAGAAGGTTGAGCTCGTTGTAGCCCCGAAAGGCTCTTCTGAAATCCACAGGCCTACTCAGCCCGGTCAACACACATTGATCATATCAGACATTGAGCACCGACCTGAAGGTGTCGAGTAGAAGGCTGAGCCAATAGAACCAGTGGAAGTAGTCCCTTTAAACCCTGACATGCCCAAAAGAACAGTCAAGGTTGGCACCAAGCTCACAGCAGAAGAGTGAGCAAAGTTTCTAGAGTTTTTAAGGGCTAATCAAGATGTGTTTGCGTGGACAACGGATGAAATGCCTGGCATTCCAATAGAGTTGGCAGTCCACAAGCTCAGCACAGACCCCACCGAGAGGCTGGTGGTCCAGAAACGTTGCCTTTTTGGTCTTGAGAAGCAAGCTGCCATAGATGAAGAAATACAAAAGCTACTACAAGCAGGCTTCATCAGGAGAGTTGAATACTCTGAGTGGGTGTCTAACCTTGTGCTTGTCAAGAAACCAAACGACAAATGGAGGATGTGTAGTGATTTCATCAACTTAAATGAGGCGTGTCTGAAAGATCCTCACCCCTTGCCAAATGTTGAGAAGTTAGTAGAGCGAGCAGCAGGACATGAACGGATGAGTTTCCTTGATGCCAACTCGGGTTATCACCAGGTTCAGTTGCTGTTGGATGACCAGGAGAAAACAGCTTTTTATGCTAGTGACGCAATCTACTGCTATGTCATGATGTCATTTGGCCTGAAAAATACTGGCGCAACATATCAGAAATTGGTGCAGGTCGTCTTTAAGCTCTAGATCGGCAGAAATATTGAAGTATATGTGGACGACATGATAGTCACCAGTAAGCGAGCTGACGATCATATAGACGACCTGAATGAAACATTTCAAAACTTGCGCCGAGCCCAAATGAAGCTGAATCCCCTAAAATGCACGTTTGCTGTAGAATCAGGAAAATTCATAGGGTACGTGGTATGCAAGAAAGGAATTGAGGTAAATCCAAAGAAGGTTCAGGCCATTCAGCAGATGGAGCCTCCCAAGACCATAAAAGATGTGCAGCGTCTGACAGGTCGTGTTGCTGCACTGCATAGGTTCATAGCCAGGTCAGTAGAGAGGTGCCTCCCGTTCTTTAAGGCTTTGCAAGAGCCCAAGAATTTTCAGTGGACCGCCGAGTGTCAGCAAGCGTTTGACGAGCTCAAACAATATCTGGTGTCAGCACCCCTGCTTTCTAAGCTTGTGGAGGGGGAGAGTTTGTACTTGTATCTCGGGGTTACAGAGGAGGCCGTGAGTTTGGTTTTGCTAAGGGAAAAGAATAAACATCAGAAGCTCATCTGCTATGTGAGCAAGGTTTTATAAGGCGTGGAGCAGAACTACCCACTAGCAGAAAAAGCTGCTTTTGCCCTTGTTTACATGGCTCGCAAGTTGAGAGCTTACTTTCAATCACACCAAATCATTGTCTATACCGATCTACCGTTGAGGAAGATACTGCAGAAGCCAGAACTCTCTGGTCGGCTTATTGGATGGAGCGTTGAGCTGAGTGAGTATGACCTCAAATTTCAATCGCGCACAACCATAAAAGGCTAGGCTGTGGCATATTTCTTAGTGGAGTGCCTTTTGATGATGGTAGAAGAAAGGGCACCCATATACCCGGTCTGGGTTTTGTATGTAGATGGAGCTGCTAATATTGAAGGATCAGGTGTTGGGGCAATGCTAGTAAGCCCATATGGCTTTAAATCCGAGCATGCATTAAGATTCAAGTTTCAAACGACAAATAATGCTGCAGAATATGAAGCCCTTATTTATGGTTTGAAACTGGCGTCCGAGCTAAAAGTTCAAAGCATAAAGATTTTCAGCGATTCTCAACTTGTTGTGGGCCAAGTGAATGGAAGCTGTGAAATTAGGGACCCTTAGCTTGGTCGTTATGCTTCTGTAGTCAACAGATTGAAATCAGGATTTGTCTCTTTATAGATCGACAAGATACCCAGAGCAGATAACCAACAAGCTGATGAGCTATCAAAATTAGCCTCCTTGCAAGATATCAACCCTCAAAGATCAACAATTGTAGAGGTACTTGACGCATCGAGCTACACTGATTTAACAATCGAGTGTCAACTGCTAAGCATAGATCCCTCTTCGCTGAGCTGGACTACACCCCTCATGGAGTATTTGCGAAATGGCGAGCTGCCTGAAGACCCATCAACCTCAAAATTGATTAAACGCAAGGCAGCACACTTCACTTTGATAGACAACCAGCTCTACAAGCGAGCAGCCTCAATGCCCCTATTATGCTGCCTTACTCCTTATGAAGCTGAAAATGTTGTAAGGGAAGTTCATGAAGGAGTATGTGGCACACATATAGGTGGTAAAACATTGGCTCGAAAATTCTTGAGACATGGGTATTACTGGCCTACTATGGTCAAGGACGCACAGAGTTGTGTCAAAAAGTGCCCGACCTGCCAATTTAATGCTGATGACATTCACGTGCCAGGTATCTGAGCTCGTTCTAAAGTTCGTGCAAACTTCATGTTTGTCTATAAACTGAACATAAATATCTCCATAGAAACAGGAGAAATGCTATCATCACTCTCATCACCCTGGCCTTTTGCTCAATGAGGAGTCGATCTGCTTGGCCCCTTTGTCAAAGGCAAAGGAGGTTGCACTTTTCTAGTTGTCGCGGTGGATTACTTCACCAAATGGATAGAAGTCAAACCATTATCCATGACAACAGACAAGAAAATAGAGGAATTTCTGTTCAACTCAATATTATGCAGGTACCCTTTGATGGCTTATGCCATTTGTACATTGTATACAAACATATAATTTGTGGCTCAGCTCGGACATCTATATGCAGGTTTGGCATACCTAAACGGATCATAGCTGACAATGGTCCACAGTTCCGAGCCGCAGCACTCAGGTTGTTCTACAACGACTATGGCATTGAGCTTGCCTTGACGTCTGTATATACTCCCCAGTCAAATGGGCAAGCCGAGTCCGCCAATAAAATCATCTTGCAAGGCCTCAAGACGGGTGTTTTAGCCACACACTCTAATTGGGTTGACGAGCTCAATAAAGTGCTCTAGTCATATCGCACTACACCCAGCTCGGCCACAGGCGAAACTCCATTGAGCCTTGCCTATGGGGCTGAGGCCGTCATCCCTGTAGAGGTTGGATTGCCATCCGTCAGGTCAGATCGGCACAACGATCCTAACAATGAGCAACTTTTAAGAGAGAACCTAGATGTTATGGAAGAGGTTAGGGAGATGTCTCGAATAAGAAACATGGTGCATCAAAGTCGTGTCGCCAAATTTTACAATAAGAGAGTCCGAGCTCGTCAATTTCAAGTTGGCAATTTGGTTTTACGCAAGACTTGGCTCACTAACTCTTACTCACATATGGGTAAACTTGCCTTGAACTGGGAAGGTCCTTATATGGTTATTTGTGTTAAATGACCTGGGACTTACCAGTTGGCAGATCTACAAGGTCGTCAATTACCATTCATTTGGAACGTACATAACCTTAGAAAGTTTTGCAGTTAACATGTATGTTATTATCTTATTCAACTTATTGTCAATCAAGTGTAAATGGCAATGCAAAGAGTGAACACAACAATCAATACAGAAATTGCAAAGGAAAATATTCAAATTTGTATTTTCATCAATGTTTTTTACATTTGAAATACATGATGAGTTGGTTCACTGACCAATACAAAAATACAAAAAATAATACAAAAGAAACAAAGAAAATCCTAAGCTAATCATCCATCAGGTTGACGGGGATGGATGCGTCAGTGGGCGCAGTAACAGATCGAGCAGGAGATGACCGATCTGGAGGAGAGAGAGCAAGAGCAGCGGCTGGGGCGGGCTGAGAAGATGGGGGAGTGCTGGAAGGCTTTGCCACCCAAGCATCAAAGCTTGGCAACCCCTCTGTGTCTTCCCCCTCTTCAACAACAGAAGGGGGCCACACGGGCAACCCCTTTTCATTGAGCTCCCATTTCAGCCTCACTCGGGTGTTAACTGGAAGGGCGAGGCTCTTCCCTTCTTCATCAATCTCCTCACCCTCGAAGAAGGCCAGCTCACCAATCGGGAAGTCAGCTCGGTGTCGTAGCACCTTCCCACGAACCTCGTTGAAGATGTCTGTGGTGGTGTTGGCTGAGGCTACTGCGACGGCGTCTTGGAACATGTCTACTCCAACCAGCCACTTAGCCCCTTGTGCTTGGGCAAAGCAGACATCGCGTTGGTGGTGCCTCTTGGTCTTCTCCAAGGACGCCTCAGCCCAAGCGACGTGCAGATCAGCTTCCAGAACCCTTTCTTTCAGGGCGTTCAGCTCGTGCAGAGTCTTCTCCCTATCAGACTTTGCCTTCTTGGCCCGATTTTCTACACAACCGCCTCCTTCTTGGCAGCTTAAATGCCGTTCTCCTTCTTTGCCTGAGCTTTTTCAAGCTCCTCGATCAGCTCGTTGACCTTGCGGCCAACTCGTCAGCTCGGCTCTCTGCTGACGCCGCTCGGTTCGCCATCTCCGAGCTCTGAAAACGACTGACCTCGTCAGCCAAACTGGCTTTCTCAGAGGCTAGTTGTTTACAATTTTGTTGTAGCTCGCGGTTCTGCACCCGCACTCCCTATTCGCACTCGAAGAGTGCAACGGTGTAGCTGAACGCCTACCATACATATTCACTCGTTAGTCTATAACATAAAATGATAAGAGTACAACAATGAACTCGGCAAGTATACTTACATCCATCAGCTTTAGTAGAGCAGCATGACCTCCATGTTGTTGAACGTACCCCTTAGCACGTTGCCGATCTGCATGAGGCACCAACTCTGCATGCCCTGCATCATTACGGCCTGGTAGTCAGTTCTAATGTAACTAAAGCCATTCGGGTATGCAATTCTTGGCCCCGCTACAAACGACGAGGCAGGTGCTAGTTCAGCGACCTCACGTGCTGGCGCCAAGGGCACGTTAGCAAGCCGCACTGCAGCGGTTGAAGCGGGCTGAGATCCCGTACTCGTCGTCTGCCAGATGAGGGGAATGTCATCCTCAACGTCTGAGTCCTCCTGCGCGCGCCTTCTTGAACTTGAGGGCGTAGTTTCTACCCTCTATTCGGCACGTGGTCTCCGTGCCGAGCTCGAACTTCGGTGCGACGAACTGCGCCCCGATGCAGCTGGTGGCCGCTTGTCAAAACGAGTCTGATGTTGGGAACTGGACCCAGCTCCACGGTTCCTCGAGCCTTGTGCTCATTGACGCTACCTTTCCAGAATGCTGCTCATTTCTCCTGCACAAATAAACGTATAAGACTCAGATCGGCTAAAAATCCTAGTATGCTATAGAAGTATACCTTCACCATGCAGGTTTGCTACATCGACAAACCCAAGTAACGCGAGCTGCTCCGGGGTAACCAAGGCTTCTAAATCCACCAAACCCCTCGCCTTAACATGATCAAGCAACTGGTTCTTCAGGTCAACATCACCAATAGTCAACTGTGGGTAATTCATATAGGCGTTGGGTGTACGCCACTCTGATAGACGGGCGGCAAGCTCGTTATTGATCCTCTCAGTTCACGTATCGCGAACGAAGATAAACTGTCTCTTCCACCTTGCCACCTTATTCCTAATGTTGGTGAATATCATCATCTTTTCTTTCTCAAAGATGTAGTACCATCTCGTTCCGCTGGTGAAGGGACACAGACGGCACAGGAAGAGTGACCTAAAGACCACCGCCTTCATGGGCATCCCCAACCTCTCACAGAATAGCATAAAGCCTATGATAAACTTTATGCTGTTGGGAGTTAGCTGCGATAGGGCCAGCTCGTACTCTGCTAGGACATCAAAAATTAGTCCGAGCAGAGGAAAATGTAGATCGGCGTCAAAATGGTCTACATACATTGGCACCCAGCCTGTCCTCGATACTGAACACGCCCGTTCATTTGGTGTCCCAACTCGGATCGGGATGGTTTTAGGGATCTGGTATTGTCTCACCATCTCTTCTAATTTCTTATACCCCTTCACTATGGCCGCGCCATCTGCAACTTCGTGGTGCAGTGCCGCCCTAACCCTAAATCCGGCCAGTAGGGTTTTGGGGGCCTTGCGAAGGTTATCCAATCTCCCGCTGATAACCTTGCTCTCCCACCCCTCAAACACAACCACCTCCGCCTCTACACTTATCGCTAGTGCACTACAACCAACCTCTTCAATACCCTCCGCTTCACTGGGTGTCTCTTCCGCGGACGAATCATTGGACGAAGTCAAAGAACGACGGTCACCAGAACCACCAGTTGCGCTCGAACTCGCGCTGCTCTCCAGCGTGATGGTTCTAGGCAAATCCTGCAACTCCGATGGCACTATCATGGTGATAGGCTCCACTGATATCACATCCACTTCGTCTTCCCCACCTTGGTTACCCTGAAGCTCTCTTGCATTCTGAAAAGAAGCCATTTTTACCTGAATGTCTGAAACTGGTTGTCCTTTCGCTGAAAACTCTGGGAATAGCCTGGAGCGTCTCTGTAACCTTCTCTGAAGAAAACACTAACGTATTGTGTAATGGAACAGAGAATGACTGAGTAATTGCTTTTGTTTTTTATCCTTCAGATAGTGCCCTTGGAACACCATACGTGTGTTTATAGCCCCCCAGTTGAATGCGTCCACGTGGCAGTCATTATGGTTAAGCGCCCAAAACTCGCCGCCTGCAGTTGTCACGTCCCCTCAAATGCTGAGCCAGCATTTATTGCAGGAAGGCAGAGGGATATCTACCATTGGCAGAAGGATACCAAACGCCCTGAGCAAATCTTCACTGAGATTCGCCACAATTTAAGATTTGATTTTTGAAAAATCTCAAGGATCAGCTCGTAACAAATCCGAGATCTCCTTAGAGATCTGCCCCCAATGCAACATTTGAAAAATCTCGAGGAATCAGCTCGTCACGAATCCGAGATCTCTTCAAAGATTCCAAATTTGAAAAATCTTTAGAGATCAGGTCGTAATAAATCAGAGATTCACCTCAGTTTTGAACATCAAACGTTAGGTTGTTACCAATTCCCTCAGATTTACTTTGTATCTTGGAGATCTGCATTATAGTGACGATTGAGGTCACTCATTTCAGCTCGTCTTGGTATTCACACTCCATCAATATGGTTTTAGTTTTAATTTACTCGCTTCAATATCAGGGTGACCTCAATACATACAATCTTTAAAGGTTGGGTGGCCCAGCTCGTCCACCATCCGCTCACCTTCGCCCTGCTATAGAAAATCCATTATGCGAGGTCGCCTTTGTGCACCCGCTTAGCTCGCCGATTAGCACCGAGCTCGCTCTGGTTTTAATACCAGCTTCCCCACGCATGTTCGGTAGGAAGCTGGCATACACATACGCATCAGACCAGGCCACGCTGACTTCAGGCCGCCCAGATCGGCCATGCGCGAGGTCGGCCATAAACCATAAAACGTCACTCCCGATCCTTAGGGTCAAACACCGTGCTAATGAAACTCTCAACCCAGTTCGTCAACCAAACACTGAGGGGGGAGTAATGTTGGGATTAGGCCCAACACCCACTTCGGGCCACATGCAGCAGGCCTAGTTATACACCCATAGGCCCAAGATGAGGGGACATACCCATGTGGACAATATCATGTGAACCAATTGGATGAACACATGTCTGAGCTCATGTCAGCATATGGGACTATAAATATCCCCAACTACCTCCATGCAAGGTATTGACTCTTCTACGCTTCTCTCTTTGCAATTACTCTTGGAAAGTATCTCTCTTCAGAATATTGAGTATTGCTGACTTAAGCGTCGGAGTGTTTTCTCCGAGGAAACATCCTCAGGAATTTCAAGTGTGGAAGCAGTTGAAGACTTCAATAGTGTTGGATCACAAAGCTGCCCAAACAGGAAAAAAGTTGAATTTTTTAGATGGCTAAGTTCAGATACTTATTTATTTTAATAAAAATTTAAAAACTTAATTAAAAATTTAAAGTAAGTTCGAGGGTTTAAAATTGGATTTTGCCTCGGAGAATTGCACCTCTACAAGTGAACTACTAGGCCTGCTAGTCTCCCACGGTTATAAGCACCATATCATTGTTAGGCCATTATTATGGTAAAATATTAAATTTATTGAATTTAATTGATACAAATTA